GTGGTAGAGTCAGGAATCATTTATTCCCAGAGGAGTTTTACCCAGACTACCTACAAAAGCATTTTTTAAATTTCTTTATGAAGCTTCTGTTTTGTTGTTTTTTAAGTTTTTTTTTATATATATATCAATAGATTCTTTACAATTCTGACAAATTTGAGACTAATTATTGCTCTCAGTGCTAAGGATCTGTTCAAAAGTTAGTTTATTTTATTCCCATCATTGCTTGCCAAACCTCTACTTGTTATGAACTTTTTCATTTGTGTTCTGACTGTAAATAGAAGCAACTTCTGATTTATTAAGAGCAACTCATGATCTATCTTCCGTGACCGGGATGCTCTATTGTCTTTTCCGATTTTGACGAGAGCTACAGAGAAATAGGTCTTTATTTTGTCACATTAGATCTACGTCCGGAATACTAATGAAATGTTTCCAGATTCTGTGATTTAATTTTGTGCAAAGTATACATTTTCTTAAGAAGATTGTTTTTTCTAAATGTGGGAGTTCCCACATGTAGTAAACGCATTGAAATGTTGACCTTTTTCAATATTTCCAGTGTGAAATATACTTAAAAAACAATGTCGTTTCAGAAGGTTTGTGTGGCCATTGTTCGCAGTATTTAAACAAGAAATGACCATTATCTATAAATTGGGCTCAGTAACTCTACATGCCGTTCTTGTACTATTATTTTCTGATTGTTGGCTTTTAGTCACTGGAACCTGAAAGTGGTCTATCAATAAAAATAAACGACACCACTACCGAAGCTTTACCTTTATCGAAGCCAAATGTACCCAATTAGAAAAGAAAGGACATCTTGAAGAAATCGAGATATTTGTGTAGTGAAATTAAAGTCAGCTTTAGACTTAATGGAAAAGTACCATAAAAAAACACAAAAAAAACAAAACAACTTAATCTCTTCCTGCCAACAGACACATGTACTTAATGAAAGATTTTCCTTCATCTGGTTACAGATTAGTTCTCGCTGGCTTTTCTCCTTTTGTGGATTTCCCTCAAAGTAATGTAAGTACATCTTGTACTTACCACGATGGCTGAATTTTACTTTAGTACATGGGCTGAGGTCAGTTTTGGTGCGAGTTCACATTCTGCTCTTGTCAGTGTTCAACATCATGCAGAGTCTTTATTTTAGATCACATGTGTCAAACTCAAGGCCCGGGGGCCAAATCCGGCCCGCCGTAGCTTTTTATGTGGCCCTCCACAGACTACACTAAACACTAAGTTTGATTAAATATTATACTATCAATCATATCAATGCAGTTTTTATCTGTTTACTGCCAATTTATATCAATCAGTCCCTCCAGTTTCTTGAGAATTTAGTTGATGTATGATTATAGTCCATAATTTATACAGCGAGTAAATAAACAGTCACATTTATTATTACTTCTTGAAGGAACTGAAAAGATGTTCAAAAATATTATGTAATTTTAAGAATTCATTGAAATATTAACAGTTTGTGAACAGGCTTTATCAACAGATTCTGGCACAACCGGCCCTTTAAGAGCCTTCATGATCTTGATTTGGCCCAAAACAAAAATGAGTTTGACACACCTGTTTTAGATGATAAGGTGAGTCAACAACACATGAAACCTCAGTAACTGTCATTGTGACGATGACCTCACCTGACACTTTATATATCAGACGTTCTTTGTTATGGTAGAGTTCAGTTCAAGTGTAGGTTTTAAAATCTAGGCAATGAATGTTAAATCATCATGTTACACATCTGTGTTTTAATCACACACAAACTGTGGCGTTTTCATTCAAGATAGTAATACCAGTCGGTTCCTACAGGTGATGCTCTATAGCCTGCTTTCTGACCCAAACCCTTAAGATTACTATAACCTAAATGAGTCAGAATCTAAAAATATAGGGTATTCCTATGTTTAGCCCGGAGTCATAAAAAGGACAAACAGGAAAATATGAGGTTGTCACCCACAGCATTACAACACCTGTACGTCATCCTGGGCTGAGTCATTGTGTCAAACTTTGTTGAGCCGGACCAGGAAATGATTACAACGGAGGCCAAGCACTGACAGTATTCAGGCTGGCCGGCGCAGGAACCTTTTCATTTCACTCACAACAAATGTGAACCAGCTACAGCTCCTCCTATTGTCAGGTAGAAACATCAGGATGATCAACTGTGCTGTTTCTATTATACGTTTCTCCCAAATGTGAGCTTTCGTTTGACAATCATCTGGAATTCAGCTTGATGAATTCTAATATCCATCAGCCAGATATTAGAATCAGTCAGTTTTTACTGGAAAAACTTTGATCAGTGATGTTGCAAATAGAATGCTGAAAAAATACTTATTTTATCCCAGTTTAATCAATGCACTAAAACTAACTAACGTCTTTGCTTGGTTGCACTAACCAATCATAATAATAATAATAATAATAATAATAATAATAATAATAATAATAATAACAATAATAATTATACTATAATGCATAAGACTAACATGAAAGCACATGTGTTTCTGTTGCTAAAAATCTTTGACACAAGTGTGACTTAATGTTACATGATCATTATTTTCAATAGTCAGATTTTTGTCCTTGCTTTCAGATACTTTCAAGGTTCCCCATGTCAAGATAAAATTAAAGGGCCTTTATAACAGCGTAGGTAGAAGGTGGAGGTGGAAACACGCCCACCACCCTGATGGATCTCAACCTTTGCCCTCAGACGTCGTGTTCTGATGGGCAGACTATCAGGAACACCTTTGACCATTCCTTCCGGATTTTAAATGGCCACTCGCTGATTCACCGCAAATATAATCACAGGGATATGTTGAGAGATGAGTCTACGCGGATGTTAAGTGGAAAAAAATGATGAAGTCAACATAAATTAAAAAAAAATCTAGCCTGTCATTTAAGCAGCGTTCCTGGGTGTCGACCTCAGAAAATAAAAACCATTTTACGATGGCGACGTAAAGTTAGCCAGTAATGCTAACGTGCTGGCTAACGTTTGACTCGTGCGGGTCGACCTGATATTTCACCTCGAGAAGTCAGACAGCAGATTGAAATAACACCGTCGTCTCACCTCTCTTGTTTTTCGTGCCGTTTTTCTTGGCGATCTGCAGCTCCTGCTCGATCTTTTTCTCCAGAAATTCCTGCTTCTTCGTTAGCATCTCCTCCGTCTCGCGGAGTTTCTGGATCGCCTCCTGCGCGCTCGGTCCCTTTCCCCCTTTTCCGCCTCCTCCAAATATCTTGCCGAACAACGACATGCCTGGGCTGCTACTGGACCCTCGCTGTGAAAATGGCTGAACGAAGCAGAGCGCAGGAGAAACCAAGGCTCTGGAAAGGCCACCTCGCTGAAACCTACCCCGACACTTCGCCCAACCTGGAAGGATTGTTGATGTTTTTCCACTTCCTGGATAAGGCCCGATGACGTCTGTTGCTAGACAACAGTAGTGGGCGTCGCCTCTGGTATCTCTGTCGCCCTCTGCTGGATAATTGTCGCAACTGCCGAACAGGCAAAAAAAAAATTTGAAAACGTACCGACTGCAGAAAAGTGAAATTAAACGTTTATTCACATTAAACATGTCATACGGAGAAGAAACAATGACGCTGCCGAGGAAAATAAATAAATAAATAAAAAGTTTAAATGAAAAGAAAAATATATCTTGATATAAATTAGCATGATAATACATACATCTACAAAACAACATAAAGAAATATAAGTTTAATTGAGATACTGTATGAGAGATTTAAGTACAGTATTATTGTTAACAGAAAGATACATGTTAAACAGCTTTGTACATCTACATTGGTTTGATTGCATATGTGAACATCTATTCCTATGAATTCATATTCAGAAAGTGATTGGACAGGATTCACGAAGACCAGCAGCGTTCATTTCAGCTGAAAGTCTTTTGAGTTGGCTTGTGACAAACTAAACATTTTCTTTTGACAGTATTTATCTTCTTAGCCATTTTTGGACAAAAATATGCCATGCGCATTATTAGTTGTTTTGTTGACCTGCCTGAGCTGTGGATCTCTGTTATTGCAAACTGTGAAACAGTTCAAGGAATGTGAAAACTTTTGTAATGGTGGGATGTTTTAAGCTTGTGGCAGGACGTCAGAAGCAAACGGCAGACCTTCTCAGGAAGTTACTGGTCGACCGAAATCAAACCAAGGTCGCATCAATGACCCAAGCATGTGAAGAACTTTGTGTTTCTTGGTCAAGGTCAGTGTTTCTGATTCACCAGACAGAGAAATGGCCTCCATGGGAGATTTTCCAAACCCAAACCGCTGCTGACCAGAGAACAAAAAGTACATAAAAAAAACCCTTTTTGATCTCCGAGACCTAAGAGAAAGTAATCCATGAAAAGCAAAAAGGATTCATGAAAGGTGTGCATTCTGTTATACAAAATTAATATAGCAACTCATAAAAAAAGAACATTCTGCTGCCAGGCACAGAAGAGTGCTGCAACAATCTGGGGTTGTCTTTCTGCTTCAGAGGCTGGATGATTTGTTGTATCGGATCGTCTAGCAGAATGCAGAAAATCCTGAATGGGAACATTATCGCTTCAGTGCAAGCAAACCGCACTTATGCAACAGAACAGTGATCCAAAAACACTTGCAAGTCTGACTGAATTAAAAACAAAAGGAAGGACTTGGGGAGTTCTTCTGCAGTGCTGCCAAAATCATAGCAGCTGTTGCCACCGAGGGTGGAAAAGCCAGTCCTTAGAATTTCTTTCACTAGGTAATTTCTTCTGTCACATACACAAAGCCCGGTTGGTATGCATGCCTCATTTCCCCTGAATGAATTAATAACTTAATATCTGTATTTACTCAGGTTTCAAGATCTGAAACATTCGTCTGAGAGAAAGCAATCCAGTTTCTGTGAGTAGGCAAAATGTTTTCAAGCACTTAAAAGTTTACAACCCATTTATGACCAAGTTTAAATTCATGACTTCACACACAGACTGGAATCCACAGTCCGTTAGGGTGAACAGACTTACACAAAAAAGAACCAGCTGGCAATGAGGGGAGTTTATGTACTGTATTTTATTATGACGCTACATGATCCATGGTGGCTCTTCAGGTCTTTTCTTGCTTTACTACATGTTTGAGTATTTATATGTATATACAAAAGAGTGTGATTACACTGCTGTGACTGCACCAATGCAGGAGTGGTCTAAAGCGCAAATACCTTTTATTATCATTTCCTTTAATGTAGTGCGTATTAACAGGTCAGTCCCCACACACGGCCACGCCCCAAATATTGCAGCACCTCCATCTTTTAAACATAAAAAAAAAGAAAACACATTTCTCTTTATTTTTCCTGAAACAGAACTGATTTATAAAGGCGGGTGCATGACGGTCAACATGAAGCAGCGGTTACCACCAACTGGAGCCGGGTGGGAAACGGAAACAAGGAGATGGACAAAACAGTTCAACCGATAAAACCCCAAGACTAAACTGGTCCCTTTTGAAAACACAGGCCTTGCTTGAATTTCCAAACTGAATAAATAACTACGGAACAGCAATCATAATTCAGGCTATTTCATGCAGGCTGCAGTATACTTGAAGATCATAAAATAATTTCTATAACAACACAACAAACAAAGCAAAGGTGGACAAAACTGATTCTCTTAACTCTGGATTTCCTGGAAGTGCATCTGCTGAGTCTGCAGGACCTGCTGTGGATTGAAACCGTTTCAGAACTGATTCTAATTATTATTATTTTTTAAATAGATCACTGTGCATCTTACGTTAGTCATCACAATCCTTTATTAAGTGATAACTTTATTAGTGGCCCAAAGATTTAATTCGATTGAGCAGATTTCTTGGTCTGGACAGAGAACAACATGATTAATAACTGTAATCCTTTTTTTTTTTTTTTTTTTCAATGAGCATTCTCCATTTTCTGGGACAGACAGGAAACTCTTTGCAGCCCCATCACATTAAAACATCCACACACACACACACAACCACACACAGCTTCTACTGGCTCATTCATACAGAATACATATTTTTATATATAATTTTTCACTTCACTCTTTAGAAGACAAGACACAAAGTTTGCATTCAGGAAAAAGAACAAAAAGTCTTTCAATGATTAGTTTTGTTCTTCTGTCCTGTCATATCATCAATAACGAGTGGAAGAGATGTGATAACAGAGGTAAAGAGACGCCAGTGAGAAACTTTCAGAATCAATGAAAGACTTTAAAAACATTCAGCCAACGTGAAGCCACTTCCACACACCGCTGCAAGATTGGGAAGGTCCTTTGGGAAGCGGATATGGACGGAGAGAAAAGATGAAAAGCAGGGAACAAAAAATGAAATAAAAATCAAAAAGAAAATGATAAAACCTGCGACAAAAAACGCTGAGCCTTGTGGTTTAACAGGGCCTGCCTTCCTTTGTTTGCCTTCTACACTTAACTCCCCTTAGACACAAACTTTATAGTTTGTCACAAATAACGCTGTTCTTTCTAATCCTTTGGAGATCCTGTCTGATAAAATTCTTCCTCTGCTGGTGACATCACAACGGGCAGAAGGTACTGGTTGGATACATTCCTTTGTGATTTTCAACTAGTTTTAAACAAATTTATCCTTGAGGGCCCGATTCAGAAAGCAGGGTTAACTCTGAATAAACCTACCCAGATCGGTGATACTCTGGGTTTTCGGTTTCAGAGCAGTAGATATCGGCTGGGCAACTCAATTCTGAGTCAAGTTACCCCTAAGTTAAGCGTGGCCAAACGACAGAGACCTCATCAATGGAAGGCAAATAACGCGATTACCCATGGCAATGGGAGAGAAAAACCATCCTGAAAGTCTGCATTTCTCACCAACAGAATTAGACGTTTAACTGACAGTATAGAGGGAATATAAAAACATTTAAGAAAAAAAAATGGCAATGCCGTTCCAAAATTGCTGAAGTGTGTGGGCAGAGACTCGATGTGTGGTAGGTTCAGCAGAGAATATTCTCTTTTTTTCCCCTGGAGGGGGTTTTTGTGAGCTCTAGTGTCCCTCAAATGAAGGTAAGCTCACACGGCTCTTTGTCTCGTGAGAACCCCACTCACCTGGGCTGCACATGCTTTTCAGATAGCGAGCAACTTATAGATGTTCAAGTCACAATGATCTACAGTCCAGCAGTGGGAGAGCTCTTGTCTAAAAAGCTCCTTTATAAAACATAAAATTTGTCTCGAACCTTTATTGATACCAATGGCACAAAAGAGAAAAAAGTTTATGTTTTATCAAGCGGCCCTGCCAGGGACTGAACTCCTGTGTCACCTGACAGGTGAAGACACACACCTCTTAAATTAGTAATCTCTCCTAGGTGACTTCTGCTATATATTAACAGATGCTACAGTAACATTTCAGACAGAATCCTGCTGGCAGTAATACGAATAATTAATACCAATACTGAGCGGGGTTGCTTCAAGAAGTAAGCCGCGGTGGCAAGTTGACTCGGGATAACACCTATGTGGCTTTCTGAAATCAAAACTCCAGAATATGCTCATAGTCAGTCACTCCAGAACTTCGTCAAGGTTTTCACTTCTCCTGCTTTCTGAAACCAGGCCCAGATGTGGTTTCTTGCATTCCACTTCAAGATGTTTGGAGACAAACACACACAGAGGGATGACTGATTGGGGATTAGAAATACTTCTGAGCAAAATACCTTAAAAAAAAAAAAAAAGAAATAAGTGGTAGGGCTAACGCATTTTGTTAGGAAATCAGAACTTAAACGGAGAATTCAAGTGCAATTGCCGATTTAGAGAACTGTTTCATCGTCCACCTACTGCTGAAGTCGCAGTAAAGAGTAATTAATACCAAGGAGGGAGGTTGGAAAACAAACTCAGGCTGAGCTCAACCAGTAAGGACTTTACCACCAGAACTGGAGCCGCCAAATTCATTTTGATTCATCAGAAGTTGGGAGAAAGTTAGCTATTGAATCGAATGCAAACATTACGGTGAGAACCATGGAGATAAATCACCAGGAAGACGGATAATAATCAGCTGGGTTCTACTAGTTAGTCCCATTATGATTGTTAAAGTGCATCCTAACACTAATTTCAATAAACAGCAGAAGGAAGAAGGGAATAAAAATAAAATTAAATTACAGCCAGCTAAGAGCTTATGTGAGTTTATTTGTCTGTAAACTATGTTGGGTTGGCATGTGTTTTCAGATACTGCATGCTCTGCCACAGCATTGATTCATTTTACGAATGGCTGACATGCACTGAAAACAATCAATTGGAAAAAATGTGAACAATATAAATAGATTCGTACCAATTAAGCAGCATTAACCGCCACTAACCTCTAAAGACAATTAATGGATCGCTATCAACAGCAGCGTCCATCATGGGAATCATGGAAACTCAGTTTTCCCCAGTCTAACCTTCAATTTAGTTTTCTTAAATACTTTGTATTCCTCAGGGAGAAGAGTATGGGTCTGAATTTACTCCTAAAACCCGCTAAGTGTTGCCCGATCACCACAGCGTTCACTAAAGCCAGCAGCTCTAACGTCTACCCTCATTGCCTGGTGTTACGTCAGTCGCACCGTTAAAAAAAAACTAACAAAAAAAAAAAAAAACATACATAGATTGTGAAGTCCAGCATTGGAAAATTATACTTTTTTTTGTTTTTCCTCAGCTGTGTTTTATCATCATTGCACAGTTGTTGTTGAAGGAAGATAAACCTCGGGCTAGTAGCTTTAAATGTTAAGAAAACAAGCAAACAGATCAACATAAACCCAGAAGACATCCCCGTTGCCGTCATTGGTACGTGCCCCTCAAGACACGCTGTCCGTCCCTTCGTTCCTGCATCCGTCCGTCCGTCACTGTGCTCAGTCTGTGTCTCTAAAGGACCAGCTTGCCAATGATGGCTCCAATCACAAAGAAGAGCAAGCACAATGCCAGGATGCGGGTGCTCAAGCCTTCATCCTTCGTCATGGCCATCCTATCCGCGGTATCGGAGTGAGAAACAGCCACCGGTGTGATCTTTCTCTTCCGCACACTGTCGTCCTCCTGAAGCAAAGAAGAAACACACAAGCTTACTTGGAGGTACTAAATAAAGGAAGGGTAGAAGAAATACAATAGGAAGAATGAAAAAAAAAATGTAGGAATGAAACAAGGAAGGAAAGGAAGACTTGAAGGGAGAAGACCAATAATAAAGGACTTAACATTTAGACAATCGAATAGGGATTAAAATCAGGAAATACCAGCTTTTCCCAGTATACTCTCATTGATATTTATTGAATAAATATGTATTTTCCTCTCATTTTTAAATGAAACTTAACCAAATATTTACTTTAGCCTTGCTGAGGCTGATAAATAGATTTTCCGTAAAGGGAGGGGGGAGGGAATCGGCCTGAAACTGTTGAAGCCACCGTTTCAACGCGTCTCACCCGGATCTGTTTGTTTTCTTCTCGTAGCCTCTGCACCTCCCTCTGCAGCTGCCTGCACTCCTCCATGATCTTCTTCACCTCCCCGTCATCCAGGGAGGCGCTGGATGACTTGGGCAGCGCAGAGTGCTCAGTCTTAACAGAGGTAGAGGAAGACACAGGTTTGATGCTTTCACTCTCATGCTGTGGAGAGAGAACGGGTGGGGGCGGCTGGGTGGAATGGTGGTGAGGGAGGAAGAAGGGAAAGTGGAATAAGGAAAAAAAAAAAGAAAACATGCCGACGCGGCGGGGAGTGAGATCCAGGCACAAGACGTGTATGACTACAAACATCATGTAATGAATGACTCGGGACACTGGAACCGTACTGGAAACATGACAAAAATCTATTTCACTAACATGTGACATTTATTGTTGGACTCATTAGAGAAACACCCGTTTCTCTCAGTGTCGTGTGAATGACAAAAATGACACTTATCTCTATCTGAAAGAAATGTATGCAGTGGTGAGCAAAAACATATGAATGTGGAAAAAACAAAAACAAAACAATAATCTTATACTTACAGTTTTGTCATTTTCTAGCGGCATCTCAAACGTACATCTTAACTTTGAGTCCATCAGCTCCTCAGGTTTGGCATCCTTCCACTGCAAACACAAACGAACCCGATTCATTCGTCATTCAGTCAGACTTCTTTGATGCTGCAGCAGCTGAACAGTTGTCCTCAACTCTAAATAACATCAACATAACTATATTTCTGCACATTTTTATTTCAGATGAATGCGCTGACTGATGAGACAGAGCCACGCTTAAATCCATCTTTGGGTTTATGAATCAACTTTCAGCTTAATACTCACAACTCCTTCCATGTCGGTCATGTCTCTGGGAGCCAGAATGGACTGCACCATGAATTTATGCTTGCTCTTCTCGTTGGGGTCGTACTCAAACGGTTGCAGCATCACTGTGGAGCAGAGGAGATGATGAAATACAATCAAAACTGCTCATATTCTACAGCTTGGAAATATATAGATGCCTTATAAGGAAACATTTTGAAATCTACACCACAGTGTAGACAGACTACTGTAATAACAGACCGTTAATCTAACAGGAAGAGGACAACGTGAGGGCAGTGGAAACATGGGCTTCAAAGAATAAAAAAGAAACAAATGAAATCCCAAAAACCAAGAATAAAAAAAATTACCTGACTTGTACTTTCTATTTTTTTTTAGCCATTTGTAATCATCTTGTTAATCTAAAATACATAGTTTGTGTTAAACTGGTCTAGCCTTTTATAGAGCCAAAGACTTTGGAGGAAATTGCATCTAAGAAGGCGTCTACAAAATACATTGAAAATTGTTTCTTTTTTTTACATATTACACATGGATAATATAACCCTAGTTTATCCATTAGGTTTAGGAGGCTTTATATCTGAATAATTCATAAGTTTGAGTTAAGCTGCTTAAAACACACACACACACACTACAACTTCTAACGTGATGAAATGAAGCTGAGAGAAAAAGCAATCACAGTAAAAAAAACAGCAACAGCTTTGAAGAAAAAACACTCAGAAAACCTGAAACCATATTTCAGAAGGTCATAAAAAAATATCGAAATAAAAATGCATTAAGACTTTTAATACTTCCTGATGAGGAAGTATAATAAAAAGTTGCTGACAAAAAATGGATTTATCATTCAAGGCTTCAACATAAAAGTTGTATTGTGCTAGTGCCTTGTACCTTTGCACATTAGGTAAAACTAATATAGATATTTTTAGTACTGTTAGGATGAAATAATCAATAAATACAACATTTTGTTCTCTCAGTAGAATCAAATGTTTCTTTATATTGCAAATGTTGTGCTCCAAATCAGGTTAAAGCTCCATTCAGAACATTAACACTCGTTACTAGTATAAGGTGTTGGCACAATATTTTCACGCAAATGAAAAATTCAACCAAATATGTTTACAAACCAGAAACATTTATGGAGGTTCCAGCCTCGATGATGCCACTGTTTGGACGCACACAATATCTGCGAGGTGCGGTCGTCTTCACTTTGAAACAGACATTTCTGTCTGTGGGGTTAGTGAGCTTCAGCGTGGCGGTGACAACATCTGTAAATGGGCCTGCAGGGGGGATAGAAAGAAAAAAAACTTGGTGACTTGAGGGCATGTGTGTTAAATGTCACTGAAATGTCAAAGTTGGATTTTCACTATTGTGGAAAACTTTATATAAACAATAAAGAAGATAGCATTTGAATGTCCATTGACTTGTAGCTGTTCTTTCTCAAAGAGGCCGATCAATTTGCTAGAAAAGGAAATCAGCAAGTAAGAGATGAGAAATTAGATTTTTCTCTGTCCATATATCAACAGAGAACTCAAACATTTAAATGCATTCAATAGAATGTAATGTGATGCAACAAATAAGACATGGAAACACAGTTTGACACACAGATGAGAAGGATCTAGAAAAACAACTTTGTTTTCAGTTTATTTGGAGATACAACCAATATCAAAGAAACTGCAGCACATTATCTTTCATTCAAGTTGCATTATTATTGACAAAAAAAGACATCGTGTAGGAAAAAAACCCAAAACCAGACTTTAATAATAAAGCCAAACAGCAGCATCTTTAATATTTATTTTTAATGTCCCACCCTTAGTTGCAAATTGAATCCAGACAAATACAAACATTGAGAGAATCAAACAGTTTTTACTATCTCTATCTCTTTAAAGTCTGCTTCATAACTCTTGTTTAAAACTTCAGGTCATCAGGGCAAACAACCTGACTGCTTTTTGCAGGAGAAGGACATCGCTGCAGCAAACAAAAACCTTATTTAGAAATGGGACCATTGCAATCCAGAAGTTTAGGGGGCGCTATTTCCTATATTATCTGCGATTTTCTTTTGAAATCTGTTATATATCTTAACCTTTAAGAAGGATTTTCACTCTCAGCATGTATTTGAACTTCTCTCTTATTTATTTCAGTGCAGCTCACAATTTTTAACAAATTCCATAGCTTTCTGTGTACTTTAAATCTGCTCCTTAGTTGCATCTTTTCGGGGCTGATACTGCCTCTAGTGGCGTGGGGGTGGTAACACAACTAATATAATTACATTACTAAATCCGAATACCACGAACATCTTTGTTATTTATTATTAATTCTGACATTACTGGAACTGTAAAAGATAAAGTCCCTCACAAAACACCAGACCTTTCTATTTCCTTAAGAAAGTAGCCCTAATTAAATGACATAAAAGAAAGACCTGAAAGTGGTTTCAGGTCCACTCCTGTGGCTAGTTCTGTCATTCCTGTACAGTCAGCTCGATTTTACTGAAAACACTATTTATATTTTTAAGAACTGTTTTCATAGACTCATCTTTTAAGATAGACTAAGAAGCACATCAAGAGGTTGTGTACAACCTCTACTTAGGAATTGGTTGTTGAGTTAAAATGTTAAAACTTAACATTTTAACTTGAGTTTTAACTCATCTCAAGTTTTAACTGAGTGTTTTAACTTTTCACCTTTGCAGCTGGTTTGGTCACCAACTTACAGACAATATTTTAAGTAACTATAGAACATCTATTAGAAGTGATTTGTTGACAGTGCAATAATTACTCTTAGCCAAACTAAATGGTAACATTTACCTACAGCATCCAAATATTTTACTCAATGCACAAATTGTTGATATTGTGATTCTATGAATGAGTTTGTTTTATTGTTTTACAGTCAAAGAAAAATGTTCACCATGGAAGACTAAATAGTTTAACCACATTTTTTCCAATACATAAGACTCTACTAACAAAATGTCTCAGAACAATATACATGGCACAGTAAAAATAAAAATGTGAATTATTGCTAGTGTCTGTTTAACAACCCTGGTTATTCTTCTGTGAACCTAGTTAATTTGTTTGTTATTAAATTTCTTATGTTTCTTATGTATACATTGTAAATGGTATTTTTATTATAGTTGATCATGTTGTGTTTCATGTCTTATTCCTTTGATATTATTTACAATGTAAAAAGGTATTGTTTGCCACCTAAGTATCTCTACATCCTGAGGAAAACAGAAAAACATGGTGTTTTAGAAGATAATTTATCTTTTACATTGCCAGTAATGACGAAATTAATAGTAAATAATAAAGACTGTGGTATTCTCATTTAGTGACATAATTATATTATTTGTGTTACCAACCCCACGCCACTAGAGGCAGTAGCAGGCCCAAGAAGATGAGACTATGGAGCAAATTTAAAAGTACTCAGAAAGCTACGCAATTTGTTAAAAAAAAAAAAGTGAGCCCCTTGAAGAAAATGAAAGAGAGAAGTTCAAGTACCTGCTGAGTGTAACTCCTCCCTAAGATGAAGATATAAAAAGAATTAAAAAGAAAATAAAAACCGGGGACTTGGATAATATAGGAAATAGCGCTCCCTTCAGTTCCGGAGTTCAATTGTCCCATTTCCAAATAAGGTATGAGACTGACAGCGGTCAGTCCCGCCCCTTTCTGTTTGCTGCAGCGAGATGTACTTGTTCTGCACACTGTTAACACAAAGCATCACTAACTATGTGTATGTGTGTGCTTCCTCTCTCCCTTGAATGCTCATCTTAGCATTCAAGGATCTGCAACAATCAATCAGAGAGCACCCCATTATACTGATCCAATGAAGCTAGTCCAACAATTTCCAGAGCAACAGGAGGGCTCAACGACAATCAAACGATGATCATTAGTAAAACACACGCAACGTCTGATTTCACAACAAGCCCGACTAAATGCAGCATATCGAGGAAGAAAATCGGGTTCCTTAGAAATGAAGAGTGAACGATAAAGCCTGGGCTTTCAAGCTTAGGTCATTGAGCAATAAGCATGGTAATGGGGCTAGGCAATGACCAACTCTGTAGAAAATGCTAGAATATCCGCTTCTTGGAGCGCAAGTGTTAACAACAAAACCGGTTTAAGGAAGTGTTCTACACATTAGCCAACTTGTGCGTGTTTCACATAATCGCAAAATGAATGGTAAAGTAAAAGAAGCGTATGAGATAATTGTAGTGATGGGACGAACGGCCTGTCCTGACGCTGCAATGACAGCTAGCAATTTACCCGGCTAGTTGGAGCAAATAAACGGTAACAGGTTAACTGTTTCATCCGTCACCAACTAAGAACACATCTCAGACATCTTTTGAAGACACAATGAGAAAACAACATAATAAAAGGGCTTACAGCTGACATAGATACTGGCTAACGACTAAAGCTAGCTGCCTAACTTCGGCCCTGCCCTCCGCCTTAGCCTTACCTCTGAATTTGAGTTCCTGTTGCGGATCAAGCACCAGGACTTGTTCTTGTCTGGCCATGTCCCAGGACTTCTGTCTATCGTGACGGCGAGGACAAAAATATAATACCACAGAAAACCCTTAGGAAAGAAAAACAACTGGCTACGGAGATAATAACACAGTGGTCCTCTAAAGGAAGCACAATCACTCAGACTGATAGGCTTGCTGACTGAGTGCCACCGACAGCTGTTGGGGAGCTAACTATGCTAGCGGCGGCGGCGACTAGAGGAAGGAGGAGACGTAGCGTGGTGACGTAACAAGGCGTTACGCTAACAGGAAGTCAGCTGTTTTTTTAAAATTCAAATCGTTATTGAAACAAATACTACAGAACAATACAATAAAATATAGTGTAATATATTGACAGCCGCCATGGTACAAGTTTAAGTACTGGTGGAATTTCTAATAGTGTTGATATATTGTTTGAATTCATTTTCTGTACTTCTAAGTAAAAATAACTAACCCAGCAGAGATTGCATAATTACAGTATTAAATCCTGTTTATATATTGCCGTATTTTGTGACAAAATCTTGATATGTCATTAAATAACTATCAAAGTTGAGCAACTGATGAACTAAAACAATGTTGTGAGTGAAACAGCAAATAAGGATTTGTTTCTTATGAAAGAGGTCTTTAGTGTTCCAGATGTAACCTGTGTGGGGAGAAATTATGCTTGTAAATTAAATGACCAAGAAATAAGCATTTTTAAAAAATGCTAACTGGATCATTTTAAGTACATTTTCTCAACAAAATTGCAAGATAAAAAAAAATTAAGGTAATTCTCTTCCCCGCAACAGGAACTCTGCAATTTGAGCTCTGCACTGCTGCAGTCAGATTCTCTATATAACCTTTTGAGACTTGTCTTCCTGTGGTGGCCCCCTTCCCTTTGAATGTGTAGGCCGTATCATAACACTTCTGCCTTAAAGACTTATTTTATTATACTTATGTAAAATTAAAATATTACTGTATAAGATGTAATTGTGAAACCTTTAAAATAAGCTGGCTCACTGCATATTTCAGACTTACTGAATGGAGCTTTCACTTCAAATGTCTGAAGTCGGGAACTCGTGGTTTTCAAAACACAAATGAACTTTTGACCTGAGCAATTGCAAATTTTTAAATGTACAATGAGTTAAAAAAATGTTTCTTCTTAACTTATGTTGCTTGTTTTCTGAAGGTCTGCTTATTGTATCTTGCGAGTCAGCATTAGGCTGCTACGAGGGGATACAAAGTTGTTTTCTCGTTGTAAAATATTTTTGTAAACCTAATTCTGCCATATAATTTTGGTCTCAGGTGCCAATGCTTACACTTGACATGATAGAAATGTCAGATCATCTACACTCAGAATTATATAGTGTATACATATACTTATAACCAATGAAGCATAAACACTATAAAACTACCTGGTGGACAGCTGTGCCAACCTTTACCTTGATAAAATCATCAACCTGTGGAAACTTCACTTTGCATATCAAGCAACTTGGTCTCTCTTCTTCTCCGTCCAGATTCTGGGGCCATGTTAAAATGCAAAGTTTATTTTTAGATGAAAACAAGAATTTTGACCCACTGAACAACAATCCTGCCATTGTTTTCAGTCCAAGTGGAAGCTTCCGACTTTGTCTCTGATTCAGTAGTCTTAGACCCCAGTAGCTGACGTTTCTTCTTCCACACTTTTTCCTTCCACTTACCTTTCCACGATTAAACTTTATTACAAGTCTGATTCTTGAGCAATGCATTTTTGCTGTTTACCTAACTTGTGAAAGTTGTCTATTCTTCCATAAAAGTATTCTCAGAAATTACAAATCAAAAGAAAATGAAATAAAACAGAAATATATCCCTGTGTAATTAATCTATAATAGTTCCACTTTCTAAACTGAATTATCGGAATAAATGTACTTTAATTCCTTGAGATGCACCTAAATATTGTCCACCACTCTCCCATAAAACTAATTTAAATATAGGAAAGTTGTGAAATATGTTACACAGTCTTATGCTGATGTGGTTCAAGAAAATCTGCTGGAATACTTGAATTTTTCTTTGCGGACTCCACCAGCGAAACAACTTGAGAGAGGCACTTTGCATCGACGCTGGCTGAAATAAACAGACTCTGTATCAAAAGAGGAAATGAATGGGAAACTTCACTTCCCTGGGCAGGGATTTACAACATCCCTCCCCACCGATAAAAATGAAGCAAAAATGACAAATGCAGGTGGTGAGAGCAGAAAATGGTGAAGTGTGCTTCTTGGGTTGAATGACTGGCCTGCAGCTGCGTACAGCTGCAGGCCATATTTCTTAGGATTTTATTCATTAGAGCTCTTTGTCCTTAAAATGAAGTCAGGTTTAACGTGTACATTCAACAAAGACGAGGGCACAGATTAACCAATAACTGTACAGGCTGCCTCTGCTTTGCAAAAACAAACTAAACCGATTTATTTTTGTCATATTTTTTTCTCTTTTTTATCATTTAAGTATTGTAAAACGGGTATCAGTCACCTCCAGTGCATTCTTTGGGAAAAGAAAAGAAAAGAAAAGAAATCGTTCTCTGCAATAGAAGAAAAACAAAAGAAACCCGAACACAACTTCAGTTGAAAGGATTTAAGTTATAGCAATACGCACACTATCAAGTGTACAATTTGTCAAGGTTCATTTGATTCTAATAAAATACTTTTTTTTTAAAACCCATATACATTTCATATATTTATCTTTTTGGGGTATATGGATCCAAAAATAGACATTTAAATCATAACGGGAGAACTGGGTGAGGAGGTGGGAAGGAGAGAAAGAGGAGGAGGGGAAAAACAAAACAAAAAAAACTACAAAAGCTACACATGGTTTTTTTTTGTCGTCTCCGAGGAGGAAAAGCGAGGACAGAGAGAGCAAGATGGGGAAGATACAGAACGGGGCGGTTTTAAAGAAAGACGAGGGAGAGAGAAAAGCGAGGATGGTGAGGAGTCAGGAGGAGGATTGGCCAAGCTATACAGCGCAGTATGACACCCACTTTAGCTCATTACACACGTACAGTCGTGATCAAGGCACAGGGATCTTCTAAAAGTTAATTCTTGTTTTTTTTTGTGTTTTTTTTTCTTCAATAAAGTTGTACAAAATAATACATTTTACAGTCTGTACAAGAATAATAGTTCAGCAGTACAGTAAAGACGTACGTACAAGGAAGCAGGAGGTCAGCGGGAGGAATGATGGGAGAGGAATGGCAGGGAGGCGCCGGGGCGTTTAACCACATGAATAGAAAAAAAAAAAACAGAAAGGGAGGTTTGGAGGGTTTGCTGTCTTCCTTTTCCAAAGTTCTGGGTTGTAACATTTCAGTTTTCACTTAATACAAAAACACTTTGAGGAAGGTGCAGATGGGAAGAGGTGAGGAGCAAAAGAGGGGTGAGAAACAAACAAACAAAAAAAAAAGATGAGAGTAGGCAAAACAGATAAAGAATGAGCACACAGGGCACAATGGCACTAAGTCTACACAGACAAAAACAGCTGTGGAGACAGTAAAACAGGATGAGAGTTCTCGTTAATTTATACGGTACTGTACTGTTTGGAGGATGCAGCCTCGTCCTCTTTGATTCCACAAAAGTTGGCAATTATTTTTTTTGTTTCTCCTTTTGTCTCTCTCTTTTAAATTCAACATGTCCTCCTTAGTTTGGCTCCGCTGCCGACGAGGCAGAGTCTGGTGGTGAAACGGCTCCGAAAGAGTCAGCGAGGCCCGAGCCTGGCATCGTCTCACCAACAGCTCCTCCCCCCGCCTCTTCCCCGAGCGTCTGTTCTCGTCGATCCGTTTGAAACTCAAAATCTCACTTGGGATGAAGGAGTTGGCACCTCGACAGAGCCCAGCGGCTTGAGGACAGAACGGAGCAGCCGCCTTTCTGAGGGCTTGCTGTCCAGAAAGCAGGACCGATGCGCCGGATCCCAAGATGTCTGTGAGCGACGGGAGGGTTTGGTGTTACACGGTTCAAGTTAAGTCCTGAGCACAGTGCTTGTGTGTGTGTTTTCTTAATGTTTTTTTTTTGTTTGTTTGTTTTTTAAATTCCATTTAGTTTTCTTTTTTTATGTATTTCGTTAGATACAGTGTTCTGCTGATCTATTGGTGACACATTTATTCTCTATTTGCAGTATTTCAACAGTTCTCTTTCCAGACCTTTTTTTTTTCCCTCTTTATAACTCTCTTGGTTTTCGTTGACGCAGATGTAACAAAATCTCTAAGCTGTCCAGACTCGGCCGCTCTCAGGAGGGTGACAGGGGACAATACTAGACTTTAAAAAAACCCAACAACAACAAAAATAGGTGAGGAGCTTGGAATATGGCTGCAGCTGGAGGTTTGAGTCTTTATTTTACTTCTCTGTTCATCCCCTGAAGCCCCTTCATCAAATCCCACATCACATGGGGACGTTGCATCAGGGGTAAGCTCTGGGTTTATAGTGTGTTTACTGCACAGGTGTGTGTGTGTGTGTGTGTTTGCGTGTGTGTGTACTTTGGCCTCATTTTCTGCAGCAGGCACTAACACACATCGGTAGAAGAGGGGAGTTCAGAGACCCAGTGTTCAACGTCTTTTCTTTTTTCTTTCCTGTTTTTAAACGGAGACGATGTGTTTTTGGCGTTCCCATCACAACAGCTCGTACTGCCGCAGGTGCATCCGCTGGATGATGTCTCGACAGTCGTTGAAGACCCTGCGGATATTTTCCGTGTCGACGGCGCAGGTGAAGTGGGGGTAGCAGTAGTGCCTCCCGTCCGCGCTCGCTGTGCTGATCCTCTGTAGGCGGTGCGAGAAAAACAACACAAAATCATCGACCTCTTTCATATTTTCAAAATTCAAAATAAAGCAGATGCATCCAAAAAGAAAAAAAAAAAAAAGAACGAGCCTGATACAGAAATCAGAAAACTCTGGAGTGAAATAAATTAAGAGAGCTGTCCTTCACACACCAGACTATATGCATCAGCAAGCGACTTCATCTGACTAGACATTCATAGAAAAAAAAAAATTAAATATTGTTCAGCTTAACGGTGGGCGTTTATCGTTTTGTGTCGTTCATTGTTTACGGTAATAAATTTCTCATCATAGATTAAATCGTTATTTATTTCGAACAAGAAAAATGTCTACACCATGTTCGTCTCCTGTATAAGAATTTTGATTCATCATCGTCATAATAAATTCCAAAAACTGCCTGTGCTGTAGTTAATGTCACTTTTGTATTTTCTCCACTGTTTTTTCAATGAGA